TTTTTTTTTTTGTTTTGGGGGGGGGGGGTTAAGAGAGCTATTCACCTAGCTCTCTTGTTCACATCATTATGTTAGGAGAGTGACCTATTCTGTGACCAAATTCAACCCCACATCAATTTCCCTCCACCTCTCCCCATGTGCTGCAGTCCTGCCATGCTACAGCTGATCCATGGCAGAATGTTCTGTGTTGACAAAGTTGTTTCTAATGTTGAAACCTATGTTGTATTTTGCTTCTTCCCATGCTGTTATAGGTCCCATGGTGCTATGTCGGGATGTGCTTTGCAAGCTTCTGCTGGCATAATGAGGACCACTGGAGTTACTCCATCAATTACTTGCATTGGTAAGGATGACGGGGAGATTTCACCTCTGACCTCATTACATGATGAGCCTCTGACCTTCACCTGACCTCTCCTGACCTTCAGGGAGAGGAAGGGGAAGTTGAGGTGCATGATGGGAAAAGAAATATCAGTGGAGATTATCAGCAGGGGCATATTTTTGAAAGTTTAACTGAATTTTTGTCCTTTACATATCTTTGACTCTCTAAAGAAAGTAAGAATTGTGTGGAAGTAACTGAAAATATGTTCTCTGATCTCTAACAGGAAGTAGTAGGTCATGATGGGAAATCTCACGTCATCCTCTGTAGATTGTTTTTGGTGCCTCTCTTGTGTCCTCTTAGCTTAGTAGAAATAGCTTTTCCTCATAGAAAACTCTTTGTAGCATAGTTGAAATATTTTTTGCACACTTAAGAAATTATGAAAATCTCTGAAGTCAAATGAACTTGTGCTTGATATATGTGCCAGATTATTATAACATTGCAATGCTTTCTGGACATAAAAATATATTTCATTTGGCTAAATTCTCTATATGAAAGCTACTGTCTGTTTAAATGTGCTTATGATAGTGCATTTGCTGTTGAAAGCACCCGCATATGGCACCTGTACAAATTATTCACCTCTTTGGAATATTGGGATTTGTTTTAGGGAAACTAAATTTTAATACCATTTCTCTTAAGTGATCTGTAATTTATGTTCTTGTTGAAATTGGCAGTGCTACTGCAGAAAAAGTAGACCCCCTATCTTTATCAGCATGTTCACAGTTTCACTCCAGGGAGACAGCACCAACTGATAAAGTGCTATTTCTTTTATGCTTTTCTCACTTTTCTGCTGTTTTGTATTTTGTTTAACTTAACAACTCACAATATCATGTAGAACAAGTATGTGCTGGTATATACAGGTATATGAGTCTATGAAAACATGTGACTTATGGAGCAGTTGCACTAACAATGTCGTCTTTTAATGCCAGGAATGTGTTGCTTCTTGATGTTTTGTTTTTGGTTTTGGGTTATATTTTATTAAGAAATTCAAATGTATAAAAAAGACCAATGTAGTTTTAAAAATCTTTAAGAAGATCAAAGTCTTCAGATGCTACTCCCCCATTTGCAAGTATCACACTTTTTGCTTGTGTTTAAATCGAGAAAATATCAAATTGTCAAATTGCTTTTCAAGATATTATGATTGTAAAAATGTGATTAGGTTTAATAGTGTTAGAATAGCTCAGAGACAGACCAATGGGAGCATGTTAATATGGTGGCAGTGTGTTGATATGATGGAGGTGTATTAATACATGTTATATCTGTCAGGGGAGAGCCCAAGACATGGTATGGTGTTCCTGGAGTTGAGGCAGAGAGACTAGAAGAGGTGATGAGACAGAAGGCACCAGAACTATTTGAGAGTCAGCCAGATTTACTGCACCACTTGGTCACCATTATGAACCCTAACATTCTCATGCAGCACGACGTTCCCATCTCCAGAGTGAACCAGCATGCGGGCGAGTTTGTCATCACATTCCCACGTGCATACCACGCCGGGTTCAACCAGGGTTATAACTTTGCTGAGGCTGTAAATTTCTGTCCAGCTGATTGGGTGAGTTTGAAGTCTTATTTTCTTGGTTCTTGTCTGTGTCATCTATTCTTGTGTACTTAATTTACACATTCTAACAATTTTCATATTTTGCAATGTTACAGTACTCTGATAATAATAATAATAAATCTTAGTTCATCTATGTTAAGTTCTTGATAAAAGGGCAAAAATTAATTTGCTTTATTTCGCTTAATTTTGAATCTTTTGAAGTGTTACATATTTCTGTTATTAATACCCTAGTGCTCTCCCTGTCACAGCCTTGCTGCCTGAGCACGTTAACAATGCCTGGGCAGAAAATTTATATATCTATATACTTCAATACACATTTTGTCCTCTGTCATAGCTCCCATGGGGCCGTGCTGCTATAGAACACTACAGACGTCTGGGCAGACAGTGTGTCTTCTCACACGAGGAGCTGGTCTGTAAGATGGCAGCTGACCCTGACCGTCTAGACCTTACACTGGCTGCTGGGGTCCACAAGGACATGTTAGCTATGGTAGAGACAGAGAAGAAACTGAGGAAAACTCTGCTGGATAGGGTAAGGGACCTGGCTCAGTATTGAGAGAGAGAGAGAGAGAGAGAGAGAGAGAGAGAGAGAGAGAGAGGGAGAAAACATGGACTGGATAAGGGATCAGGCCATATTCTTAATGTGAAAATTTTGGACAAATATTGTGAGATTTCTTCCTTTAAGGAGAAGATGATCACGCATAGACAGTGAAGAGTGGCACACAGTTATATAACTCCCACTAAAACAATCATTATTCCATTTAAATTTACAAGGTGATTTAAGCTGTTGAAGGTGATGTGTACATATAGTTTATAATTCAGGGCACTATGGAAGCTGAACGTGAAGCGTTTGAACTTCTGCCAGATGATGAGAGGCAGTGCCATTACTGTAAAACCACCTGCTTTTTGTCTGCTGTCACTTGTGTATGCAGTCCAAGTAAGTAGACAACCAGAACATTCTATATAAGACCAGTATGTAACATGTTATCAGTACTCGGTTTCTGTGTACAATAAGCTCTGTACTGCTATTAGTTCATGTGCTCTGAGATTGAATGTTCAGATATATTGTACTTTAATTGCAGTTATAACAGTTTACCTTTAAAATGGTCAGCCTTTCTTTTGATTTGATTTCTCTTCCTCAGTTTAAACTGAAAATCTTGTATTATGAAATGATTGTAAAATGATAATGATGTTTTCTGTCTCAGGTTTATTAGTTTGTATCCACCATGTGGACAAGTTATGTGACTGTCACCCGTCCCAGCACTGCTTGCGTTACCGCTACACCCTGGATGAGTTACCTGCCATGTTACACAGGCTGAAAGTGCGTGCTGAGTCCTTTGATAACTGGGCACTCAAGGTGAAGGCCGCTCTGGAAGCCAAGGAGAAACAGAAATTAGGTAAAAGAAGTTTGGAAGTTTTCCAAGACAATTCAGAAGTTTTTAATTCCAGTGTGCATGATGTGGGGTTGCTTACAAATTGAAAATAATTAAAAAAAAAAAAAAGAACAGAGAGAAAATGGTATACTGACCACTTTATATTTAAGCATGTCTGACTCTATCATCCATGTTCCAGAGCTGAGTGAGTTGGGGGGAGGGGGGGGGGGCACTGAGAAGAGCTCCACTATATATTTCAGCTTGTTTGACTCTATCATCTATGTTCCAGAGCTGAGTGAGTTAAAGGAGATGATTGTAGAGGCAGATCAGAAGAGGTTCCCAGACAGTGAGCTGCTGCAAGCTCTGATAGCTGCTGTGGGGGAGGCAGAGAAATGTGCCAATGTGGCCAACCAGCTGGTCAGCAAGAAGGTCAGAACAAGGTCAGTAAGCCGCGTAGGATCTTGGGTATCGTAAACCCATAAGTAGTGTTAGGCAGCGTTCACTACCGAACTTGATCCACTGATCAAATATGGTAGATCCACTTGTAAGATACCCAGGTTATCCCCATGGAGAATCTATTCAGTGTATATTAGAGCTTTCCAGTGGGTCTGTCATATTTGATCCGCAGGTCTGTTAGTTCATGAATCAAGTTGTTGAGCGTGTAAGCTATGTTCTTCCCACGGGTACATAAATCATGTTGGGTGCTCAGTGGTGTTCTACATAGCAACAGTAGATAGCAGACAACACATAGCAGCCAGTAGTCAGAACTGTACTCTGTATTGGTACAAGTGGTCTGCAACACTGATATAGTGGACTTGGTGTAACATGGACATGTATGCCAGGTATCATGGATTATTCTGTCATTAGTTTGTGCAAGCCATCCTATCTGTATTCTGACTTGTTATATGTGTATATTCCAGGAACCGCCAGTCTGGAGACAGTAAATACATTGCCAAGCTGAGCCTGGATGAACTGCAGTGTTTTATAGAACAGGTGAATAACCTGCCCTGTAGGATCAAGGAGGCCACCCTAATACAGGTAAGACTGGGGAGGGAGGACTGACACGGGATGATTTGAAACACTTGTCTGTGAATATTTTGAACAGTTTTCTGTTAAATCTATTACAAATGGAGCTGCTTTCACTTTGGAAAGGTTATATTCCTTTGAAATTCTCTTTAATATTTTTGCCTCTGAAAAGATACCAGTCTTTATACGACCATGTGAGTAAGCTCTCAATCCTCTCACTGCCCTCTATTTCAGGAGCTGTTACAGCAGGTGCTAGACTTCCAGACAGAGGCTCAGGATGCCCTGCAGGACCAGAACCCAGACTCTGAGAGACTAGAGAAACTGATGGACTTTGGGGTCACACTGGATGTGGACCTGCCAGAGATACCTAAGCTGAAACAGGTGGGTGGGAGCAGGAGAGGGCTCTCCACTCACATATGACATTCTGGTTAATTAAGAAAAAAAAATGGTGATAAATAACTATTGGATTCCTCGCCTGTCTGTTGCTTGTTGTTACATTGATTTGGATATTAAGTAGTTGAATTTCATTGAATATATTCCAAATACAGCTATCTCTATTAACTCCCTCTATGTCTAATTCAGGTCCTGGAGCAGGCGCGGTGGCTGGACGAGGTGCGTAACACTCTGGCCGAACCAGGCAATGTGACTCTGGAGAGCATGCGTAAGCTGATAGAGGCTGGCGTGGGTCTGGCGCCTCACACAGCAGTGGAGAAAGCAATGGCAGAGCTGCAGGACCTTCTTACTGTCAGTGAGAGGTGGGAGGAGAAGGCTAGGATATGTCTACAAGCCAGGTAGGTCAACAGTCATCAATATGTTTATACAGATAGATATTAGACTGTCAGTGAGAGGTGGGAGGAGAAGGCTAGGATATGTCTACAAGCCAGGTAGGTCAACAGTCATCACTATGTTTATACAGGCAAGTACTTGGATTTTGTGAAAAAGAAAAACAGTTAATGATAAAAAATTGATGTTAGTATTGACCAAATTGAGATGTTAGATTGGATTTTACTTGAATTATGTTTAGTTATTTTTGTCAGTTTGTATATTGACAAAGAAGCAGAGAAAATACAAAATTGAAGAATAAGTTAAAAATTTTAATGCTGGTGTGTAAAGTCTTTGTTTTTAGATCTATATATCAGTCTTGGTGTCTTTGCAGGCCCAGACATGTGATCCAGACTCTGGAAGCTATCATCAATGAAGCCAAGGGTATCCCTGCCTACCTACCCAATGTGTCTGCCCTGAAGGAAGCTCTGAGGAAAGCGAAGGAGTGGACAGCCAGGGTGGAGGCTGTTCAGGTTAGGACACAGGATCATTACTTACTAGTTGATAACTACTTCTTTGTCTGCTGTCATTATGGTTGCTTCCTTTTACACTTGTCACTTATATTTTTGTATTAATTCAGAATACAGGAGTCTATTCTTATGCACAGGGAGTTTATTTATGTATGGTAAAAGCTGTGTTGTAACAGTAGATATTTCCTCCCTCAGAATGGAGAGCATTACCCGTACCTGGACATCCTGGAGAGTTTAGTCAATAGAGGGCGCCCTGTCCCAGTTCGCCTTGACCTCCTGCCACAGGTGGAATCTCAAGTGGCTGCTGCCAAGTCCTGGAGAGAGAGGACGGCCAGAACCTTCCTGAAGAAAAACTCCACATACTCATTGGTTGAGGTGAGATGGCATGATATATACATAGGATAACTTGGAATTGTTCTTCTTGTGTTTTTAGGTACCTTAATGTCTTAAAAGATGTAATGTTTCCTCTAAAAAGTTAAAATACTTGCACACCTATATATTTGGATACAGGTGTTGTCTCCAAGATCCGACATAGGTGTCTACCAGAGTGGTAAAAACAGGAAGAAGAAGATGAAGGACATAGACAGGGAGAAGGAGGCTGAGACAGGCAAGGTGGAAGAACACAGGGACCCAGCTACTATGGTATGAACCTCAGCTGTTCACTTACTAGATATTGTAACAGAACATTTAATGTACTACTTTGGTTTGGCCTTGCATGTATTCTTATATACTATTTAATAGAGCAGAATATAAGTGTTTTTCCATTGTCAGGTTGCAGTATTTAAGTCTGCTGAGCAGCATGAAGTGGAGGCCATGAGAGAACTGAGGGCCAGGAATATGGAGAAACATCGACAGGAAGACGCAGTGGAGGTGAAGTACTGTATATGTCGTAAAGGACCATCTGGCTTCATGCTGCAGTGTGAACTCTGCAAGGACTGGTTTCATGGTGAGAGAAACAATTGAAGATTATAGACTATGCCATCTGCTGGGTTTAAGTTCTTTAAGATACAATTTTTATATGAAAGGCAAGCATGTAAAGTTCTTCCAAATAAAATGTACTATGTAATATATTACTTATATTAGCTTGAACATTCTGTTGTAATCAAAGAACTATCCATTTGTCTCTGTGCAGCCTCCTGTGTTCCCTTACCCAAAGCCAGCAACCTGAAGAACAAGAACTCTCAAGCAGCAGCCATCCAGGCAGCTCGTGATCTCAAGTTCCTCTGTCCACTGTGCTTACGTTCCCGTAGACCCCGCCTGGAGACCATCTTATCCCTGCTGGTGTCCCTGCAGAAACTTCCGGTGAGGCTACCAGAGGGGGAGGCCCTGCAGTGTCTGACGGAGAGGGCCATGGCATGGCAGGATAGAGCCAGACAGGCCCTGGCCACAGAGGAACTGGCCTCAGCTCTAGCTAAACTCAGTGTGCTCAGCCAGAGGATGGTGGAGGCTGCTGCCAGGGAAAAGACTGAGAAAATCATCAATGCTGAACTGCTGAAGGCAGCGTGCAATCCCGAGTTACAGGGGCACCTGCAGAGTGTCACGCAAAGTGCATTTGGGGGAATGCAGCTGTCACAACAGCCACAGGCCTCCCCTCTGCAGGTCAATGGATCAGCATTAAATGTGAACAGTCAGCAGAATGGCAGCGGCGGGGGGTGGCAGTGGTGGTGGTGGGGGTTTTGACTATGAGGTCTCTCTGCCCCCTACCTCCACCTCTCCAGCACCAGATGATGACACACAGTCAGAGTCAGAACTGGCTCAGAACAGCTCAGCATCCATGTCCTCAGAACATGCCTACTCCACAGCTTCTAAACCTAACTCAAGTAAGTTCTACAGTAGGTCTACAACACTGATACCGTGTGCTGGACCTTGTAACATAACATGTGCACTGATATAAACTGGTTTTGGTTACTATTTCTTTTCAATGTACTCAAGATTACCTGTATTTGATCTCTGAATATAAATGTGAAATTATGTTGGTGTAGGTTCAATGAATATACTTAAAGTGGGAAAACGTGCAGACATGCTTTTTGGGTGGAGTATGGTCCATCCACATTTCTGATCTTGTATTCACGTCTCATTTGTCATGTTTTTAGACACCACACCCCGTAAACACCAAAGAAAGACGCCACTGGTGCCGCGCCAGCTGGAGACACCGGTGCTGGAGCTGTCAGACATGGCGAAGGCTCAGCTAGAGGAGCTGATGATGGAGGGAGATCTACTGGAAGTGTCCCTGGATGAGACGCAGCACATCTGGAGAATACTGCAGGCTTGTCTACACAGACCTGATGAGAAGTTTATGGAGTTTGAGGTAATTACAAGGAAGCTAGTTAAGATTGTATCTAAGGTTATACTTGCACATTACAGCAGCATAAGTAAACTTTGATGAGGCAATCTTCATTGTGAAATGGCTATTTCATGTTTTTCATTTGTAATAATTTCCCTCTGCAGCAAGAGACAGAACCAGATCTCAACAAAGACGCGGACAAAGAAAAAGAAAAGAAGAAGAAAAAGAGGAAAGAGGTCGGTGGAAGTGGTGTGGGTGTGGAGGAAGGGAAAGACAGACCAAAGAAGAAGAAAGTGAAGAAAGAACTAGGGAAAGAGAAAGACAAGGGTGAGTCTGGGGTCTGTACTGCAGGGCACTGGGGTCGGTGGAATTGGCTACTTCATACTAGAGAATATATGTAATATCAGTTGAAAGTGAGTGAAAATTACATTAAATGTGGTGTTACTCTCTGCACATTACACTTAGTTTTATGAAATTGACAAAGTTTTAAAAAATCCCTTAGTGTCCATAATGATTTTCTTGTCAAAATTTGATATGCAATGATAAATGGCATGAATCTGATGTTTTAGGTGTTATAGTGAAAAGTGACAAAAAGAAGAAGGACAAGGAAAACAAAGAAGGAGAGAAGAAAAAGAAGAAGAAGAAGAAACCAGAGAAGAAGGTGTCAGATAATGATGACTTGATCGTAATAGATGATGTAGAAGAGGAGGATTGTTCTGCTGCTAAATGTCTAAAACCAACAGGTACGTGCACTAAGTTATTTTCACACAAACATTAAATTATGTGTCTCTGTTATCATAGCCCATGTGTAAGCCTGCTATCATATTCCCAGGAGCACATAACATCACTAGTGCCCCCTGGAGTTCTGGATAGCCACATCAAATGCTACTAAATCAAGCCAGTAGATGGAGACTCTGTCTACTGGTTCAAGAAGTCTGCAATATTGATTTTATCCATTTCTGTTGAATTCTACTTACACATGCTGATATTTTGTTAATTTAAAGCAGAAATGATATCTTATTGCACCAGAACTAGTACTGCTGATATGAAATGGTGAAGTCTAAGGTTCATATTGTTGTGTTTCCAGGTGAAGAGGTGAACTGGGTGCAGTGTGACTCCTGTGAGCAGTGGTTTCACCTGCTCTGTATTGGTCTGGGAGATGATGAGGTCTCAGAGAATGAAGACTACATCTGTTATGAGTGTAGGCAGGGGAAGACAGCCTCTCCACTCACCGTACATCACACTGACACCACAGGTGACAGCACCATGACAACAGCTGTCACAGAGGACACCAATGACCATCATCTCACCCTGAGGACATGATGACATCAGCACTGGAGGAACCAGTGGCCACAACAACAGAAATGTCCACCACAAGGACAGCCACTCCAGATGCCAGCACAGCCCCTACCAGTGAAGTTACCAGTAAGGATACCCCCTCAGGAGCTGTGTGCTGACACTGTAACTGAAAGCCAGAATGAGGAGACAGAGGACATTGTGAACTTAGAGAAAAAAGATGCAGAATCTGAGCTCCACCATTCAGTAGATGGTGATGGTGGCACACCCCCTCATGCTACTCTGGTCCAGCTGCTGAAGGAGCGCCCTCTGGTGAACCAGCCACCAGGGGGAGACACCAGCACCAAGGAGGATGTGTCTGAGATGACACAGATGTCTGGTGTGACTCAGGAAGATGAGGCAGCTCCAATGGAAGTGGAAGAAGCTGTGGAAGTTCCATCCTGATGAGAACTGAAGAAAGGAAATAAATTTGATTTAACCAAAACACCTGCATTTTAGAAGTAAACACTGAGGACTGAGAGTGAGGTGGTCTTATACATCATCAGGTATTTGATGTAGACAACCTCAGTCAGTGGTATGGAGTCAGGACTGTCTTGACTGGCACTGCTCCAGGGGAATGTGTGCCGACACCTGTTGACAAGAGAAGAATCCTGTTGTCCTCTGCTTTGTTGAAATCCTTGCCAGTATTTTGTTAAAACTGTTGGCAGCTCAAACACTGCTCCCAGTTAATGGAAGTTTGGAGGATGACATTGATTCTGTTTTCTGGATGATGATGACATTTTTGATGACCTTCTAGAAGATGTATTTCTAGTTTCATACAGTGACGTCCTCTTGTTATTCCTGCAATAATATTGGAATGGCATCTCTTTAGACAGTTAAACTATAATTTCAGACATTACAAAATCAAAAGTGTGTTGTTAAGAAGTGATTTGAAGCTAGTTTCAGTACTGTTGTGTCAGGATGGTAGTTGTAAAGATTAAATCACCAAAGTTCAGACTGCCATGGTCAGTGTCCTGGCCTTGGTCGGCGTCCCAGCCGTGGTCAGTGTCCTGACCATGGTTGGTGCCCTGGCTATGTGGTCTCAGTGGTCATACCAAGTGGTCAGAAAATAGTGGAAAACTATGGTCACTTGTCTTAACTTGAACATCAGAGAGATGTGGATGTTTCATTTTTGAATCTTTGTATGCTAAAGACATTTGCATGGAAGACATTTTCCATATTGTAATTTTGAAATCTGTTCTGTTGTTAGTTCACATTGAAGGGAATCTGATGTGTTATACTAGTGACTTTTGATACAGGTCCTTTTATGAATCAGTTAAATCATTTAAATTTCTGATATTTCAGCTGATACTCTGCCATGGCTACCAGTCAGTTGTTTGATATGTACAGTGTATATAGATCTACTCTACACCCATGGAACTACATCTGTGTGAACATCATAATGGAAAGCTCACCAGCTGCTGGTGGTACTATCCAGATGTTCTTATAGACTACTGTGGAGACAGTAGTTCCTTGGTATATATCATGAACAGAATAAAATATAAATCCCATCATCTTGGTGTCTGAAGATTTCATTTCTTATTTTATATCAGAGTAAACGGTATGAGGCTCTCTATGCCATCGGCGCCATGACCAGTGAGGTCACTGTTGGTCCCATTAACCCAAAGAAAAAACAAACTCCAGATAAACTTTATGACCAGTATAAATTATTTATTTACAAACATACAAATGTGGCTGATATGCCCTTTTGTGTCAGTGATGATTTAAGTAATTACATCTCTTCATGTCCTCTCTCCAGCTTTAGTCCAGTGGCTGCAGGCAGGACAAAAATGAAAACTAGATCAATTTCCATGGAGAACAGTTCAAAGCACCGTCCAATAGAACCTTGCTATCAGGTCAAACACAAATCTTTTCACAGTGCACACTTTTCATGAAAAGGTTTAAGTTCACAATAATATTACAACTTTTCTCATCAGATTATCACAATTGAAAGACTTGAACATCTATTTTATACTTTAATACCTGTAACCAATGGCAACAGTATGGAACCAGTTACCCATGGCAACAAAACATGGCAACAGAGATGTTTCAGTGGTCTAAATATAGCATGCATCTGGCAAGGACATCACAGATGAAAACAAAATTCAAAGAGGAAAAAAATTACAAAGAATTGTATCAAGACAAGGCCTTATAAATAAATCAACCAATAACTTTAAAATAGTACAACCTTCTGTTCCATATTTCTCAATCACCTAGTAAGCAACTCTGGGCACTGTATAAAGGATGTTATTTGTGCATTGTTCTCACATCTAATTTGTTATTAAGTGACAGAGACAAATGACAAAAAAATTGTAATTTTCTAACAATGACATTGCTTTTCCTGAAAGATATTCCCATCCAGGCACTCGTGGAAACAGCTTGCCACAAAAATGTCACTTAAGTCAAAGCATGTTTGTTAGAAGGTTAGAGAAGAAAATCTTCAGATTATGCATATGTGGCTTGGACCAAGTGCAAAATTTTATCACAGAACTACAAAAGATAAGATCACCCCCATCTCAACCCTCAAAAAGCCCCCCCCCCCAATCCTAACAAATATACCCAAAAATGAGAGGACAAGCAGTCTAAATGCCAAGTTCTTGTATTTGAAATCAATGAGAAGAGAAAAGCTTGCTTTGACATGATACAAAATAATAAAAGAGAAAATGATATGGCCCTGTGACAGGATGTTCCATCCAACTAACACGCTGTTCATATAGACCTGTTCTTTAACTGTGCAAACATCTTGATATTCTAAATTTTGGGGAAAAAATTAAACAACTTCAATTACACTGGGCTTTTAAACACCTAAAATGGCTTTGTAGTTTTTTAATTAAAAGCCTGAGAAATGAGCACTGAAACTGTCAAAAAAAAAAAAAAAAAAATGGTCACAGCAGCTGTATAAATTTACTCAGCTGAGAATCTTACTTTGCCCTAGACTTCACTGCAGAACCTAGAACACTGTATGCCATACAAGACTGAGAAACATACATGATCATTGCATTATCAATAAAATGAAAAAAAAAATGAACTTCCTTAACACATGTGTAAGCCCATGAACAGAAGGCTGAAATAAATCTTGGTCATATCAAACAAATAACTTGGAAATACTGAGCACAACTACAACTTTAAAACAAAATAACAACAAGAAAACATGTAATCTGTGTTCAATACACAAACATAAACACATCTTGGTAACTGTCATGTTTTTTTTTTATAGAAAATGGAGTCATTACAATTTTTATGTATAAAAATAAGACAATATATTTACATAGCTTCAACATTTTCCACATTTCTGCAAAATAGGATTCATTCATTTCTTGTTTTCTGGGTCTGTTAACAACTCCCAGGCTGATCTGTATTTCCTGACCTAGGAGGACCTGTGACCCAGAGATCAAAGACACCATAGAAACCACTGGGCTCTTACCTCCTCCATAATAGCAACTAGCACCATGATGTGGGATTAACTTGAATACTTCTTCAAAGACTGTTTGAATGTGTACTTGTAATGCTTATAAATCTCAGGTTATTTCAAAATACTGGTAGCCTTCTGAGACGAGAGGCGAGAGCTGTTAATGAAGCGTATTGTTCAGAAATCTCAGAGTAAGTCTGGGTGACCTGCACTGCAGCGTCATCCCTGGCTAATAATGCTAGTGTCTGTGGATTATATCCTGAAAATACCCTTGTTGAATACCTCAACACTTGAGCAAACTAGAAAGAGTGGAAGGGTCATCTTAATTTCACATGAAAACAAATAGTAGAAGTCATCCTTTTTGTGAAAACAAAGAGTAGAAGTCACCTAAACTTTCTGTCAGTACAACATGCATGACAAACAGGAGTTCAAAATTATGCTACTTACATTGAAAGTCAAAACATATTTTTTCAAAGTTTTCTTCTCTTTTCCATAAAACGTTCCATGCATTGCTCACAGTACTAATTTCATCCATATAAACACCAGCACACCATATCTTCTCTGCACACATCACTGGAGGTATGATGACAGCAGAATATCTAAAGTGTCCCTGGGTCTGTCACCTGCTGAACAATACAATAACATCAGTCCCTTCCCAGATCTCCCAGTTTTCCCAGTTCTCCCACTTCTTTCCTGGTCAGACTACAGTGGCAGCATTCCTGCCAGGACCTGGTGTTAGGAGATCATTCCTGAGGGGGAATGCTGCATCTGGGGCTGTATCTGTTGTTTATGATGATCATCAGAGAGAAATAGAGGTTGCTGCTGACTAGAACTCAGAGGAAGAGACAGGTGCTGGAGGTTCATGGGGTTCACTTTCTGTTTCCCTGACAGTCCTCTCAGCTGACCCGCGTGCTGCTGCAGACCTGGGTACACCTGTTGGTAATTGTTCAGTTTCTTGTTCCCGGCGCCCGTTGCTAGTGCTGCCTGCTGCTGCGCCTGCTGGAGTGACTTCTGATAGGTCACATTGAACCGCGTCTTGTCATTGATGTTAAAGCGTCCTGTGGGATTGCTGGATGTTTTACCTGGAATAGTTCAAGTGTTAATTATAATGAAATGTAACACTGGGTGAAGTGTTACATTTCATAAGTGTTATATAACAAATCATTATGGTTATCTGAAGGCTTAAATATTAGTCTTTGCCAAAATCACCTGAGAAGTAATATATGTGTCAGACACACTAGAAGAGCTAGGACTGGGACTGATGTTATGACTGATTATATTGAAGATTTAAATGATATTTATAACCTGGTACAGCTTACCTTTATTTCCACCTCCTGTGTCAGATACACTAGAAGAGCTAGGACTGGGACTGCTGTTATGACCAACAGGACTCAGGGCCATACTTGCTGTTAGGTGGTTGAGAGTGAAACCTTTACTACTGGCAGCAGAAGGAGAAGGAATTATGCCATTAGGGAGAGGAGACCCAACAGGTGGACTGACAGAACCCTACAAGTGAACATAAACATTATATCACTGACAGAACCCTACAAGTGAACATAAACATTATATCACTGACAGAACCCTACAAGTGAACATAAACATTATATCACTGACAGAACCCTACAAGTGAACATAAACATTATATCACTGACAGAACCCTACAAGTGAACATAAACATTATAAATATATATTTATAGTTCAATCTGCATGGCACACTATAAATGGATATAAAAATGTTCAATATAAAATGATATTGCTGATAATAAACCAAAACACAATTCAGTGGGTGCGTTCACAATTAAACTATTGTACTTGAAGTTCGACCTATCTTAGTGGAGACTGCCCCCTATAAACAGATTAACATGCTTTCTCCTGGCGTCAAGTAGAATACAGAAAAGCTGGTGATTATATGAGTACGCTGGAAATGAGAGTGGATGTGTTCATCTGTTTATCTAATTGCATTCAGTACAATAGATTCACAGTGAATGCACCCACTGTCATCAAGGTGTTGTTCACTATGGTTATCAGTGTATGTTCTCCCTACTCACTGCTCTCAAGTTAGGACTAGGTGTGGTGGCAGGACTGGATTGCTGTGGTGATGTAATACTGACACCAGTGGTGTTCACAGGATTAGCAGCAGCACCAGCAATGAGGTTCCCTCCAGTGACAGCTACAGGAGTGAGGATTGCATTGAGAGGGGCATTGGCATCAATGAGCACAGTGGTATTGGCAAGGCCTGAGGCAGGAAGGCTGTTCAGAGCAGGTACTCCCCGGGGGAGGAAGCCACCCCCTCCACCCACACCCTGGGGTGGGGGCTTCTTGGCATTAAGTCCTATTACAGCTTTGGCACCATGTTGTAACTGCTGCTGTCCGTCTACTATCCCGTTCTGCTGATGAGGCGATGTGGTGATTGTTGTTCCCCCTTGGAGCTGGTCATTGGAGGAAAAACTGACCAACTGACCATTAGCAAAGCCACTCCCATCAATGTTGGCCACTACAAAGTTCTTCACCAGTTGTCTATTAGCAGACTGGGCCATGGTCAGGTTGCCAATGTTGGCCCCTGCTAAGTTAAGACTGAAGCCAGCAGGGATGGCTAGGGGCACAGAGCTCCCCCCAGAGTTCAGTAATATCCCCCCTGTGATGTGAGTAAACTGACCTGCCCCAGCAGTTGGCACAGTGGGGGCTGTACTGGCTGCTACAGCACTGGGAGCCACACTGCTAGCAGGCAGCATATTGTGTACACTGGTGTCTCTACTTCCAGATCTTTTCCTTTTCTGATTACTACTATGATTACTATTGCCTCCATCCCCTCCTAAGCTACGCATTGTTGTTATATTGGAGTCTTTTGACTTATTATTATTGTTATTATGACTGCTGTGCCCATTACTGTTTTTATTTGCTGCAGAGTTGGACTTGGATTTTGCACTGGAACTGCCTGTATGAACCACACGACCTGCTGCACTGGAACTGCCTGTATGAGCCATGCGGCCTGCTGCTGTGGACTCCAGTATATTGAAGTCATATGGATCTTTTGATGCTGTGGATACATGTTGTGGATCTTTGGGCAATTTGGCTTCCACACATCTTTTTCTGCAAGAATAATGAAAATATTCATATAATGTCACAGCATCAAAACTGATGAAAGAAGAAGTTTACAAATCTATGTAATTCTTTGCTTTGGCAAATCTTGTAGCTACACATTTCAAACAAAACCAGTGTATGGAGCTTTTCACTGATATCAAGTTTTCAAGATTAAAGATATTTTATATGGGATTTCTGTTCTAAATTATATCTTCTTTGACAACAATCAATTTTCTCCCATGATGTGTAAACGTGTCCATGTAACATTGATAACTAAGATTTTAGCCACTGAAACTGTTGCCTGCACTTGCTTCCAATTCTCAGTACAATTTGTAGTTAATAAATAATTTTGTGAATTATAATATATTTCATGGTGTGTACTCCACTCACTTGACTGGAGGTTCAGTTTTACAAGGCTGCAGGTGTTTCTCCAGTGTGCTGCGGACTACTGCTCTGGCAAAGTCAAACTTGCGACTGAAGACGTAACAGCCGGGGCCCTGCAGACGGCCGCTCGCGTCATTGGTGAAGATGCGGGCACCAAAGTGATTGACCTGGAAACAGAGTAGGTATCAGGACGTCATTAATACAATATTGACAGTAAACGGCCTTGACTGAACATTGTGTACTATTTCAGATCAACTTTTATCCCCCAGTGGTTAACTAAATGTGGGCAACCAGTGACCTAAAACATTTACCATTAAAATACTTCTGGCTACTGAGAAAATATTCAATTTGAGGGAGTTATCTGATTCATCTTAAGCCAAAGCAGACTAAGATCTTTCATCTCAAAGTTGTCTTAGGTATATGTCCCCAGTACTTACTGCTGCTGGCTGTGGGTGAGTACTGATATAAGGCACCTCCATCATCACTTTGTCCCCGTCCTCCTCACAGTCACTACAAATACGCTGGAACTGCTCCGGAGGGGGCGCGGCCTCCTTGGCACTCTGAGAATTTTGTCTGAAATCACAGCAACCAAATACTCCAGAATCTTTATGTAGATTACTGTGCTCTAAGTTAAATTTTTGTCAGGATATATAAAACACTAAATGGTCACATCAAATAATATTCAAAATGCTTCTGACAGAGGAAAGACTTGTAGAAATACTGCATTTGTAAATCACTGCATACAGAGAAAGTGAGGCTTTATATGGATAGATCGATCCTGTTAGATTGATCATGTATGGGAACCCAGTCTAAGTGAGGCTGTATACAACTGGCAGCAAACTTATCCCCTATTGCCTGTACCTTAAGAATGAATTGGGCAGACGGTGACTACTAGGCTTGGTGGGTAACTTTGGCCCCAGTGGTAATGCTGTTGCAGCGATGGCGTGGTGAGAGCCCGCACTGCCCTTCAAAGAGGACTCAGAGTTCACGGACTGGCGGCGGGAAGGTTCAGCTTTGATCCCACTGCTGCCACCACTGTTGGAGGATTTTTTGGCCGCCACCATTCCAGCAGCAGCTTGTTTGGCTTGCAACAAGGCCTCTTTAGCTGCTCGGTGTTCCCGCAGAAGTTCATCAAAGGATTTGCTCCTGTCCTGGACTGCTCTCCGCAGGGATAAGGCATGTGTCTGTAGAAACAGATGACAATGTAACTAATAACTTATATCTAGAATTCTATTTGCTCGTTCTGGACAGCCCTTCACAGGAATAAGGCATGTGTCTGTCGAAATAGCTGACAACATAACTTATAAAACATATATTCAATATCATAACAGTGTTGCATCTGGGTTCTGAAAACAAGGGGACAGTGGGTCCCTTGTTTAGAAATTTGGGGGACAGACCCCCCCCCCCCTTGCTTCTGTCAGCAAGATATATATCAATTATAGTCAATCATAGAGATTTGTTTTCACTTTACCTTGCATGTCAAAGACCTTGTGCACTGTTTTCTAATCTCTGGGATCCACACCCCACAGTGTCGATCAGGATCAAACTCACGATCTGAAATATACAGACCACACAACATCAATGTAGACCTATTACATCTTGATGGTGGGGAGACAGAATACAATGGGAGTGACACAAGCTGACAAGGTTATAATGACAACAAGTGACACTGCATTGTTGGTTATGACAATAAGTGACATTGCATTGTTGGTTATGACAACAAGTGACATTGCATTGTTGGTTATGACAACAAGTGACATTGCATTGTTGGTTATGACAAGTGACATTGCATTGCTGGAAACGACAACAAGTGACACTATTGTTTGCAATGACAACAACTGACACTGTTTTGTTTATAATGACAACTGACATTGCCTCCTGGAATGCTTTTATTATCAGACTGTTTTTCAGCAGAAAGATTTCTTACAATTAATATGTTCTGTATATTTCCAGCTATGTTGGCATTACAGATAGCTCACCTTTGCAGGGCAAGAACTTCCTTTCCTTGACTAGTTTCTTAGAGCTTCCACTTCCAGCACTGCTACTGGAGCTGTTACTCCTAATTAAGTTAGTTTTTGTGGGTGTTGATATTGATGATGATGCTGTTACTGTTGTTGTCGTGGTGACAGGTGATAACAATGGCACTGTTGTTACTGGTAACATTGTCTTAGTAAGTGACACACTGGGAGATGACAATGATTTTGTCACCACTGGCTTTGTGTCGACAAAAGTTTTTGTAGTCACAGCCTCTGGAGTGGGGCTGTATTGATTCACCACACTCTGGTCCAGTGGCTCCACCTTCACTACTGGGTCAGATTTGATCTGTGACAGCGCCACTAACTGTTTTATTTTGCTGGTGGACGGAGGAGGTGGTTTAGCTGCCTTGCCAGAGGAAGAGGAATTGCCATATTTTGATGGAGCTGATGTTAAAGATTTTGACTTTGACCCCGGCCCAGGTGACACAGAGGCATTAGCAGATACAGGAGATTTGTTCCTAGATGGCGGTGGTGTGCTGGACTTCAGTGCACCAGCTGTGGGCGTGACAGCCCTAACAGGAGCCAATGGCAACTTTACCCCATGGCGTTGTTCTAGAAATCATACAAACCAAAGCCATTAGTAGAAACAATAGCAGTATAATTTATTTCCCAATAACTTCTTCAGTGTATGAAATAATTTTTGGACTAAATTTTAAAAATTCTTAAAGTGACCTGATCTGACCTTGACCTGACCTTGACCTGACCTGACCTTGACCTGAACACACACAGTCCCCATAGCTCCTCATACATACCTGTGTGTTTCTTGAGAGCCTGGGGTTTCACCACCTGACCACACTTCTCACACACCACTAGGTAACACTGGTCTTGTGCAGGACACAGCCCAAACAGTGGCTTATCTGGAACACAATAAAGTGACATCATTAAGTTA